CACTCACATAAACGTTCCTCTCCGGATTGAAGGGGGAATCCGGGAAGGATGGCTCGAAAGTGAGGGAGAAAGTAGTCCTTCGTTTGAAATCTCAGATAATCACGTTCCGTGAGCCGATGTGGAGACCTGGATTACATAGCGGAGCAATACTCTTCCCATATCCCTCGAAACACCATGCCATCAACCCGGACTCAGTCATTTGCCCGTCCTCTAACACGTACTAATGTTTTTTGAGTTGCAATAAGGAGGGAAGAGAGATAGATACGGCGGGTTTTCTCCTTCGTACGTGCGCTTATGTGGCCAGTAGATTACAAAGGATGGATTGTAATGCATCCGCCCGTACGCAAGACTAACGGCGGGCGATCTGATCGGGAAATCGCATCATTCAATCACAGCGGTCTCCTATATGTAGATCGCGCATACATACAAGTCATCGCATTTTACATAGATCGATCGAACAGGTAGCGTCCACACATACAACCATTCAAAAAAGGTCATTCAACAATTAATTAGACAAAATTGGGAGATGGAAAGGAAAAAGAGAAGAAGATCCGCCTTAATCAGACAAAAACTGAGAGGAAGAAAAGTTAAAGTTTTGCTTTACAAAAGTTACAAAAAAAGAAATGACGAAAAACACAACACCACCCGATCTCCTCACACTTTCTCGCTCTCAACAATGTCGAACTTCTCACTCGGTGCAGGCAGTCTGTCGCCTCTCACCCATCAACAAACTAAAATTGTCACCTCACTCGGTTTGATTACGCAAGCAAGATTCGGTCATGCCTCACAGTCCTCCGCTGCACCTCGTCAGATCGCCCGATCTCGCACTCACCTTTTGCATGCTCACCCATTAGCCGATCCTCAAGACCGCGCTAACTCGAATGTTTATATTAAAGACAATTATGTTGTGCTTGTGAAACGTATACTAGTAGCGAGAGGGTCCATGCGCGGAGTGTCTGAGGTTACACGAGAACAAGAAAAAGAAGGAAAGGGATTGCCTACGATTAATATGTCTGAGTCACGGCGTGGGGGAGTTAGTCACTCACCACGCATCACTTCGGGCATGCATAGCGTCGGCCAATGAGAAGGGAAGGAAGTGAGCGTCTGCATGCATATAACAAACACTCAACATAAAAAAAAAAAAAAAAAAAAAAAAAAAA